ACCTTCGCCTATATATACTCTTGCTCTTGCTTGCTTGACTCTTGTATATCTCTATATATGATCTTGCATGTGAACTGGCCTTCTGGCCTTTGAACTTGTGCTCGGAATGCGTGGTGACTTTGTGATCCACCCTGAGCTTTGCTTTGCTTTGCTTGACTGGTCTTGTGACCCCTTGTTCTCCCCCACTTTGCCTATGGGGGTGTGTCAGAACATTATAGCTTACTTATTTCTGTAGGCATTAGTGGGGTATCCCATAGGGGGTACAACCCAATTAGGGTTTCCTATTTGTACTCACTTCGTTCATAGTCATTTCATTCTCGTTCATTTCTTCTCACGCGGCTCGGCGGTGCGCTTACCAGGGGCGGGTGGGTAGAAGCCCGCAAGTGGTGGGGCAGGGCCGAGGTGCGCTGGCAGGAAGAGGGTCGCGACAGGGCGGGAGAGGAGGGCCGCGACTCGGCTGCAGGGTAGGGCCGGGACAGCGGCGGCGGCTGTCACGGCAGTGGCAGCGGCGGTTATCTCAACAGCAGCGGCGGCGGCGGTTGTCATAGCAACAGCGCCAGCGGCTGTCACTGCAGCAGCGGCGGCGGCGAACGGCCGTGGTAGAAGCGGCAGCGGCAGCCGGCGCGACGGCAGCTGCTGCTGGAGCGGTGACGGCGGGGCGGCAGGGCCGCGAAGAGCCGTGGAGGGGCCGTGAAGGTGCCGCGAAGAGCCGTTAAGGGGCCGCGGAGGGGCCGTGAAGGGGCCTCGAAGGGCCGCGAAGGGCCGCGGAGGGGCCGTGAAGGGGCCGCGAAGGGCCGCTAAGGGGCCGCGAGGGGCCGCGAAGGGGCCGCGAGGGGCCGCGAAGGGGCCGCGAAGGGCCGTGAGAGGGGCCACGAAGGGCCACAAAGGGGCCGCGAAGGGCTGAGAGAGGGGCCGCGAAGGGCCGAGAAGGGGCCGCGAAGGGGCCTTAAGGGGCGCAACGGGCCGCTAAGGGCAGGGGACGCGACGGGAGGGCAGGCGCACGGGGCGCGACTAGGGCAGGCGCGAAGCGCGCTCCGGGCAGGCAAAAAAAAAAATTGTAATATTGGTGGCCCCTTGAAAACGTTTCCACTAGGGAACCTGCTCTATACCATGTGAAAATAACGAGGGATGAATTGACTAAGAAAGAGATGGGTACAAGCAGGAAACCTAGAAGTGTTGTACCCTACAGTATCTCTACCCCAGTACAGCCTAGATAGACTTTAGCATCTAAGTCTGACAAAAAAAATGGCGAACGTTGCAGTAATTACAAAAACGTAAAATAATCGAGGTCATTTCGCGGAATGTCCTTTTTTAATCATTTTGTAAGCTCACAACCATGCTATCAAAAATATGATAAAAACCGTTTTTGTACGAGCTATATACATGTATATCAAACGGCTCTGAAACTTTTCGTTCCGTCGTAATAGAACAAACGGGGTTCTTCAAAGTCGCGGCGGGACTTGTTCAAGAAAGATAAAACTGTGCATAAACGCTTTCTAACTTGATAAACTCCTCGATTGCAGGATCATTTCGGCGGGAGTTTCATGTAGTTACAATTTGCGTGATCACTCGTGTGTGTCAAGTTACCAAACGTGTTAAGCGAGTTATCAAACACGTTAGGCGAGTTACCAAACCAAACGCGTTGAAATCGTTGCCGTACGCGTTATAGTGCCCCATGTAAGTTACCATTGACATATTTTCCTTATTTCCGGTGTAGCGCCAGATATACACCTGATTGTTTTACATGCATATCTAATCTAAGTGTGGATGTATAAAGACTATACCACGTACGCTCGTATATCAACAAACGCTCACCTATGGTAGCGACTCCACTTTCCTGCGTAGGTTTGCTTCAAATCGCTCGCCTATTCTTGCTCTACCGAGTCTCGCGCTCTTTATTGAGTAACGACTCCACTTTGAAATATACAGTATCTAAACCAGTGCCACCAGACTTGCTGATAAAGGTTACTCTAGCGAGATTTCCCAAATTTCGTAATGAGAGCCCGCCTAACGCGTACAACATTTGTTCCCGTTAGTGAAATGCTCGCTTCGCTCGTTTGTAACACATGGTTCTCTTGTGGATGCTTGAGTGTGGGATGAGATATGTGAGTGCAGGAATGAGGCTTGACGAGGTCATGTTGAGTTGAACCTCCTTTCAGACTGACAACGAAGGCAAGCAGAGTGTCATATTTGTGTATGTAAAACCAGTGTGCCATGGCGGACGTGGCGTGTCTCTCCACAATACGACCAAGTCCAGCCTGTTTATCCTCCTCCAAGGCTTTGCACGCGTCGAATTCAGGAGCTTGCGTGCGTTTAGGACCTGTTTCTCTCCTGCCTTGTCTTCGGTCTGTCGCATTTTCGCAGAAGCACAGCCATCGTAGGGCATTTCCGGGATCAAGATTTCAGAGTAGGCGTGCGAAAGTCGTCGTTGCAGTCGCCGCAGACGACTTTACATCGTTCACGGACGAGGATTGGCTGGCAAAGCTTCCAGACAAATCATCCGCGTTATACGCATGCAGCTTACCGTCGATCGAGGCGTGGCTCCGATCGTTAGGGTTTCAGCAATCGGCCGCGAAGCCTGAGCTCTGGCGTCTTGAGCGGAGCGACTGGCATGCGGAGCTGGTGACGGATGTGACAGATGTGGTTGTGAGGTGAGCGCCTGAGGTGTGATTTCGTCTCTTAATAATCGTCTCCTTCCATGGGACATTTATGTTGAAAGATGGCATACGGAGCTGGTCACGGATGCATCAGACGTGGATGTGGTGGTGAGATGAGTGCCTGAGGTGTGGTCAATGTCCAAATTTATGTATATTCGAGTCGTTAGAGAAGAGAATTTGAATGCGAAGGATGGTTTTCTGGTTTGGATCAACAAGCTTGAGGAGTTCTCTGAAGGTGGCCGTACGATACACAGCTTGTCAAGGGAGCGGTCCTCTTAGGCTAACTTTCTGGTTGGTTTTATTACTGGCATCGGCATGTTGTGATGCTGGAAGCTGGCATTTCAGTTCTGTTCTTTCTCCCTGAGCCTTCGCCTGTTTTCATTCACTTCTTGGAGCCGTTTCTTAAATCAGTGATAATTCATTCAGATCTTCTTTATTTGTTAGTTTAGTTTCATTCCATGCTCTCCACCATGCTCTGCTGTCATCGCCAGGTACTTGAAGAGTGGACCTGGAAACCTGAGCAGAGACATTGAACGGAAGTTCAGCTATTCTTTCAGCAGAGAGGACGTGGAGAAGGCCATTCTTGATGGCCCTTGAAAACTTTATCTGATTGAATCCTGGTAGGTTTATTCTCCAGTTAATGCATGCCATACTTTGGAGTGTCTTTATTCATCTCTTTCTTGAGTTGAAACCCGCATGTTTTTACCTGTGCAGATTGATACCGTATTTGTGCTTAAGCAGCAGTTACATTCCATTTTTCCATCAAAGTTCACCATCTCCCGTTTTTGGAGATTCTCCATTTATCTATGGTACTGGACAGGTGCATGACATGTGATTCATCCAAGTATTCATTGAAGATGCATACCATACAATCATGCCAAACACTGCCCTCACACCAGTATGGCTTCCTAATGTCTAGGGATTCACTACAACAGGTCTGGTATGAAAACATCTTCCTCTTTGTCATTTTGAACGCCTCCAGAAGCTCCAACGGTACCATCGTCATTTCTTTTGCCACAACTCCCAGCAGTGCCATCATCGCCTCGTGTGATTTCACCGCCTCTTTTGCTGCCGCGATCTTCTATTTCACCCCCGTCTCCTGTCTTGCCGTCCTCTCCTATGCGACCGTCACTTCCTGTACAAGCATTGGTACAAGAATCGCCTCCTGTACCACCGTCACTTCCTGTGCCGCTGTCCAAGCACATGGGCTCCATTCCCAGAAACGAGGCTCTCCCTCCACCGCGCCCTTCCTTTTCCCGTCGAAACAGCACGCTTGCATGCGCCCTGCTCTCCTTGCCAAATCTCGATGGACTCTGCTGCAAACATCCCATCCTACATGGGCTAGTACCCGTACCTGTATGTACAATCCTGCCTATCCTCGAAGGACTACCAGTTTGATGAACCACTCCACCAGACAAATTCTGGTGTACCACCTGGGTATGTACAGTGCTGCCAAGCCTAGAAGGGAGGTTTGGAATCTGAACCGCGCCCACTCCAGGGCTGTGTATGTGGCTATGTACAGTGCTGCCGAGCCTGGACGGGCTGTGAAACGAACCAATCACACCAGGGCTATGGACCCCTCCAATCCCAGGGCTGTGCATGCGTGAATAAAGTGCTCCAAATGCTCCGAACCTGGATGGGCTGTGCAGCCTGATGAGCTGGGAAGGGCTGTGGAAGCCCAAAAGCTTCGAAGGGCTCTGAATCCCTGCGATTCCGGAGAGCCTACACGGGCTGGTTCGTGCATGCAGCCGTGCAGTGCAGTGCACCCCAGCAGCAGCAGAAGCAGCCCCAGAAGCCCTCACAGGGCTGCAGATATGTGGAAGGTGAGACGGGCTGTGCATCCAGAAGGACGAGGCTGGCAGCAGCAACGTGGGACTCTCACTGCGGCTTTGGGACTGTCTCAGAGTTTCACTTGGGCCATGGTTCGGGCTCGTGATGGTTTCAGCAGGGGACATGTATTTGCCGCCGATATCCTTCTGGCTCTTGCTGCTCCCATCGTCCTCCCCTCCGTCCCCTGCAGCTCCCGTATTCCCAGCACCTCCCTCCCCTGCAGCATCCTCCTCCCCAGAATCTCCCTTCTCCCCTGGCGCTTTTTCCCCTGCTGCTTTCTCCTCTGCTGCTGTCCCATGCCCCCCTGGCTGCTCTCCGCTGCTCCTAGATTCCAGAAGAGCCAACGAGGGTAACACCAGGTGCAACGGACTAGCATGACCCCTATGGGGGGGTTCAATGGAGCTTCGGAACACACCATCGCCACCTTGCACGTGGGCTTTAATGGGGTTAGTACCGCTACTTCCCTTAACTGGGGCTTTAAAGGCTCTAGGACTGCCCTTGTGGGGGCTTTCAATGGAGCTCCGGCATTCCCTGCGCCCTTGCCTGGGATTACCCTGTCCTCTTGCCGAGCCTGGGCTCAACCCGCTTCGTGCCCCGCCGAACCTGACTGGGCTGCTGAACCTGGACCTCAGGCTCGGGCTGTGCAGGTTCGTGTGTCGCAGGTTCGGCGGACTGTTGAACCTTCTCTCTCTGGCTGGACTCCCGAGCCTGGACCTCAGCCCTGGGCTGATCAGCCTCGCCCCCATCAGGTTCGGGCTGCTGCTCCCCGAGCCTGCCAGGTTCAGCACAGCGATCCCTGGACTCCCGAGCCTGGAAGCCATCAGGTTCGGGCTGCGGAGTCCCGAACCTCTAGCCACGGGGCTGTGCAGCTTCGGGCTTCCCAGCAGCCCCAGGCTTTGGAGAAAGCGGCGCGTTTCAGGTGACAATCCAGGCTCGGGGTGTGTTGGAAAATCCTCGAACACACCCTGAAGCAGGTTCATCTCATGAGCATCAGGAGACGAAACCCCCCCATTGTGCTGGTGGCACCAGCCTCCTCCAGTCTGATTGGTCCGCGTGGGTGAGTTGGAGTGGAAGGCGAAGCAGCTGTATGCTCTTTTCAGGGTGCTACCCGTTGGAGACTCCTTGTTCAGTGTGCCATCTAGTAGAGGCCCCCTCTTCAGGGTGCTACCCGTTGGAGACTCTCTCTTCAGCTCGTTCTTCAACATGTCTGTCATTTCTTCCTGCATCGCTGCTCCTCCAGTCACACTTGCTGTAGCCACTTGTATTGTGGCATTATCCACCTCCTCCTCCTCTCGTTCCTCTGTCACTGCCGCCCCAACCCCTCCACCCACCTCCTCCAAACACCCCACCGTCTCTCCTTTCCTCTGGTCCACTTCCTTTCCCCCTCCTTCCTTCCTAGCGGCTGCATCCCCCTCTGACTCCAACACTCCAGTACGCTGATCCGCGTGGCTCACTCCATCCGTGTTACTAGCATGTTCAAGCTCTCCCTGCGGAGTATGCACTCCCGTTATAAGCACTTCCTGCATGCGCACATCCTCGGTAGAAGCAGCTGCAATTGCTGTGGATAGATCGGTATCCATAGGCTCACAGCCACTCAGATCTTTTTGTGTGGCATTGCTATTGCTGATAACGGACTTGAAAGGAGACAGCTTGTAATGAGTAAAGGGTGTTTCACGTGGAGGCGTGAAGAAGTAGCTCCCGTCATCCAATACAATCTCCTGGAGGTGAAATCCGTCCAGGAGGACTGGCTCGGGCAGCTCAAAATCTTCATCCTGCCCGTGATGCGACTCGAAGCGTAAAGGCGGCATGCTTTCCCATTGCTGCTGCTGCTGCTGCTGCTGCTGCAACTGCTGCTGGTGGTCCTGGTGGTGGTGGTATTGCTGTTGCTGGTGCTGCTGATACTGGTCATATTGATGGTGCGGTGGATGGCTGTGCTGCAGGTACTGGTAACTCTGTTCATGGTTGTCCTTTTGCTGATGATACATCACTGGGTGGTGGTGATGGTGATGGTGATGCTGCTGCTGCTGCTGCTGCTGCTGCTGCTGCTGCTGCTGCTGCTGCTGCTGCTGCTGCTGCTGCTGCTGCTGCTGCTGCTGCTGCTGCTGCTGCTGCTGCTGCTGCTGCTGCTGTTGCTGCTGCAATTGCTGCTGAGACTGCACTTGGGGGTCCAAACCCTCATGTCCACCTGTCCCTCCTGCTTCTGTTGCTGCGGCCGCTGACGTGTCAACTGCTGATGTGGCAACAGCTGACGTGGACCCAGCTGGGCCTCTAAGGGTGAACGGTGGATGGCTGAGGGGCAGTGGTGGCGATGGGAGAGCGAGAGGCGGAGGGTGCCCCGTTAAGGGTGGCTCTGTTACTGTGGATAAGCTTCTGCTGGGCGTAAATTCGCTGTGCATCACGGGAGTAGTTGCGGGAAATGAAATAACGGGTGTAGATTTGCGTACTGACACTGTAGAAGCGTGGTTGGCGGGTGTAGAGATTGGATATATGGGTGTATTTGATGAATTGATGGGGTGGTGTAGTGGGGTGTTTGAGGGCCCACTGGATTGGCTGCTTGAAAGCAGCTTCCCAGGCGTACTGGGAGGTTTGGACCAAGCCGTCAGGTTCGGGAGGGAAAGCGGCTGGAAGGATGGCCGGATGACGTCACCAGGTGCTGACAGTGGTGCACGGCTGACGTCAGCAGGAGAGGGCCTGACGTCAGCACAGGGCGGCGGCAGCACCAATCGCGAGTGGTCTATGTGTAGAAGGCGATTCGGAGGTTCCAAGGAAGAGGAGGAGCGGAGAGGGGGGAGAGAGGAGGGAGGCGGTGGGAATGAGAGGGTTGCAGGGAGGGAAGTGGTGGGATGGAGGGAGGAAGGAGGGAGAGAGGAGGGAGGTGGTGGGAGGGAGAGAGTAGCGTGAGGGAAGGGAGCGGGGAATGGAGGAGGGAAGGCGGGAGCGGGATTGCTGGGAGTCATCATGGGAGGAAGGGAGGGAGGGATTTGAAGAGGTTGTGGAGGGGGATGTGGGAGTTGAGATGGGTGGGGTGCGTTAGCTGGGTGGGCGGGCTGGGTTGGGTGGGTTTGGTGGGGCGGGTGGTGTGGGCGGAGGAAAGGGGAAGGGTTGGAGAGGAGTAGGGCGTGTGTGCTGTCGTAACCGTGTGGTAAATCCTTGTCCGCTTCCGCTCTGCTGGCGGCGGCGTGGCGAATCACCGAGAGCATGAGGGACGGGCCTGGTGGAAAGGAAGGGACGAGACGAATGGAAAAAAAAAAGATGAAAAATGGGACTTGCGAACGTGGAAGAGCAAGAGGAAACTCGGGCTAGTTTTTTTTCAGGGAAAACGATGAGAGTGGTGCCTAACGAGACACCAAAACAACGTACCTCCTTCCCCCATAGTGCCCTCACGCATAGCCAACTCAGCGCCGCGAAAACCGCCCTCCATCCCGCCTCCTCCGCCTTCCCACGGGCTCTGCTCGTCACACTTATCGGGTGACTCCCAAGCGAGTACAGGAGAGTCACCCATATGAAGCACGATTGCTCCCGCCTCCTGAATCTCATCCCCATCTCCATCCCCCCCTCCGCTTCCGCCACCTCCTCCCGCGCTTCCCCCCATCTGCGCAACCATCCCCCCCGCGCCCGCCCCCGCGTCTCCCGCCGCCGCGGGCGCCGCCGCGCCTGCCGCCCCCCGCGCGCCCATGAGCGGGCGGTTCATGGGCGGCAGTAGCGGGCGGCGCGTCTGGTCCAGGTTAATTAGATTTGCCGCGGCCACCTGCGCTGCGAGACGCGTGGCGGCGTCTGGTTGGAGGTATTCCGGGGGGACGAACCCGCCCGCGCCCACGTTGCACATGCCTTCCATCGTACGCGATAGTGAGTTGCTCATGCTGCGCACCTGAAGCGGAAAGGAAAACAGCACAGGGGGGGGGGGGGGGGGGGGTTGTACAGGAATCAGTTTTTCCTTGCGTCCTTTTTCTTATGTTTGGAACAGATACAAAGATCACATCAGAAGAACCATAATCACTGATTGTGCATCATTCACCCCTCTTTTCATCGAGTGGCCAATTTTGGGATGTGTGACACAGGGTGGCGCCTACCTTGCGGAACGGCCATCGCTTGATTCCCAATCGCCGGCAGCGCCGCTTGAGCGCGCTGGAGCACACGCCTAGCTCGCGCGCCGCCTCCTCTATAGGCAGATGGAAAAACGGCGACACGTCCTCCAATCGCGCGCCGCCTATTTTCACCATGGTGACGCAAAAATTGCCTCGCTTTCGCGATCTTCGCTTCGCTTCGCCGAACTTCACCGAACTCGCCGCACGTTCAGCTCGCTTGGTGGATGATTTTTTTCGGCTCCTTTTTGCCTCGGTACTGCCGGCGATTCCCCACAATTCCCTCACTCGTTTGTTCGAATTTCTGGCATCGCCGTAAGGCCTGATTGCTTGATCGTGGGGTGCGCTGCTCCACGCACGAGCCGCGGTGCTCGGAGCACAAATGACCAGTGAAGTTCCTCGAAACGACCAGCGAAGGTGTTACTGCGAAACGATCGGGCAAATCATAGCTCCTCCAAACGACGAACACCAGACCGTATGAAGGCTAATTATATGAAGGGTTTATTAGCCCGTCTCTGCTATCGAGTCACTTACAAACGGTAAGGAGACTGCGCAACAGCAGGTACTACTAATCTCCCGTTTCGCACCCTTACTCGTTCTCAGAGCGGCGCTGCTGGGTAGTAGCAGCCCTACTACCTCTAGCAGTGCTAGTTCCAGACGCACTTACATTTAGGATATAAACAAGCTCAGATGTAAGGCGTCTCTAAACGGAGTCCTTCACGCTCGGGTGGAATACATACTGGCTGCGCGTGTGGTTTAGTGATAGGCCTTAGTACTGACAATTCGCAGAATCGAATCTTGGCTTCGCTAAATTCGCAGGACTCGCGGCTGGCGCTGCCGCGTTCAGTTGACCCGCGGTGGCCCATCCCAGATTCCCAGCGCTCACACGCCTACTTGGTAGCGAACTAGTTACTGTGGCATCGTCCAAACGGCGGACAAGGGATGCTGCTGTAACGGCGACTCTAAATTTCCCCGACTACCCTACCTACGTCACGCTTGCTTGCTTGCCCCAAATAAAACCAATAGTCACTCTGAACATAAACCAGCCAGCTGCTTGTCGAGTGAAGGAGTACCAGTTATTTGTCAGGTATACTGTGTGGCTGCAAAAGCAGGAGCAGGGGCAAGGGCTGTCACGGTAAGCTGCATGAAGACACAGGGCAGATGATAGTCATATGAAAGCAAAAGCCAGAGATACATTCAGCGATATCGTGAGAAGAAGCATGTGCGTGTTTGCGACTTCATGTTGCGAACTTCGAACGAGGGTGCACGAGAGGGGCTTGTGCACAAAATGTCGAGTCGGGGGGGCTGCAAATTTGCAAATTCGCCTGGCAGATGTGCGCTTCGGAAACCAGGAATTGATTGGTTTCCGAGCTCATGCGCAGATCGTAGGGTCGCATTCGGCAGGTGACGGTGTTACGACGGCTTGCGACCTGTGGTGGAAAGTGAACGGTTGCCTGTGGAGTTGGTGATTGGTCAAATCGGAATAAGAGCCCCTTGGTTTGCAGACGAAGCAAGCCTGCCAATAGACAGATCGTTTAGAATGTCGCTGACGTCGTAGAGCGCTCGGCTGAGGTTCAGCTGAGTCCGAACAACCGTGTGCGACTGTCGACTGACTCAGAACAGAAGCCTCCGTTAATTGTTTAGGACCTACACCTGCAAACATGCGTAAAATCACAGTAGGCACATACATTGGTTCAATTCATTAGTGAAACTTGCTACGGTTTTCACTTGCAAGCATTTGACTCGTCTGAGTTGCGGCCTTCACATTGTCGGCCATATGAGAGGGCATCTATGACTGCATAACATTTTGCGGCTTCTACACATCTTGAAGAATCACCATCTACCAAAGTTAGCCAACCTTGTGACTAGCTAGCCACCCTCTTCCATGGCTAGCACCACTTGTACAAGCCATGCTGTCGACCAAGAGTCACCGTCATCAAACACCTCTACCTCCTCGTTTATTGGGTACTTTCTAATACTCTCCCTATCATTGTCCGAAGAAGGGAACTCCCCCGATTCACCAATGACATTCCCCCGAGCCTCACATAAGGGCCCCTCAAGCCCACATGCTTTTCGGGTGCAGAACTGGTCGAAAATGTAACCTAAAATGTGGGGAACGAGAAATGATTGGTGAATCCTGAGAAGTAGCCGGGGGAGGACTAGGGACCGGCGAACGAATCGGGTTAGCGCACCAAGCAGGTTCGATACGAGCGAGGGATGTTGTCTGGTATATGAACCACGAGCACTTTTCTTGTAACGAGGATCAGGAGCTGTATGCGAGAACTCCAGGCGTTGGTATGACACGGCTTGCGAAGCTTGTTGGTGTTGGTCTGATAGACGTGGGTGTAATGGAGGAGGATGAATGAGGCTGGAACTTGAAGGGCTTTGTGCTTGAGACACTTTAAGAGGAGCCTCAAAAGGAGGATGTTGGTGCTGGTCTGACTTGTGTGAGTGCAATGGAATGAGACTGGAGCTTGAAATGCCAGGTGCTTGAGAGGATGCTGACAGGGGACTGAAACTGGAGGATTCTGAAAATGAAGCGCGAGTGGTGAAAGCTGAACACGGTAGAGAGGAGGAGGATGCTGAGGAGAAGGGTGATTGAGCCGAGACGGAGGGGTTTGTGAGTGAGGAGTGGAAAGTGTGCGTTGAGCTGGAAGCCGATAGAGCAGAGGAATAGAAATGAACGGAGCCTTGAACTGCCAATGAATCCTCGGCGAGTGCATGAGGAGTTGGTGGCATAGCCGTGACAGAAGAATCAGCTGGGGAAGAAACAGCAGAAGGAGCAGAGGGCGGAGAGAGAGCAGGAGGAGCGGCGCCATGCGCATGACCCAGCATGGGTGAACATGGGAGGCAGGGAGGTTCTGGGGGAGGATGGGCTGTCAGATGGCTGGACGGCAAAGGAGGAGCAGCCGGGGGAAACAGGAGCTGTGGAGGAGGTAGGGAGTGGGGTGCGTAGGAACGAGGTGCAGAGTTAGAGAATGCAGGTGTGGGGCGCATGGAAGCATGAGGAGGCAAGTGGATAGACCACTCTGGAATTTCACCACGGACCCGCCACTCTCCTGCATCCCCTTGCTGCTGCCACGTGGCAAGCTCCTCTGCCTGTCTCAGACCCTCCCGCAGCTCGTCCACGTCAGCAGGCCACCGGCCAGCGCTGTAAAGAGAAAATCTGCCGCCCAATCTTTCGCCACTGCGGAGCACTGTTCTTGAGGTTCCCGCCGCACCTAGGGTCTCTGCCGAAGCTTCTGATTCACCGTCCGAACCAGCGCCTGATAAAAGCAGAGCCTGCTGGAGACGTCGATTCTGTCTAGAACTCAATCCAAAAAATGGTTCGGATTTTGGCACGGAATGTGGCTTGGAATAGTGAATCAGCAGCTTCGGCAGAGGCCCTAGGTGCTCTGCTCGGCAGGGGTTGAGGGACCAGCTAGCACCTCCTTGTTGACCGCGCCCCACATTGTCACTCCTGCTATTGTCACACACCTCCTCCACGCAGACTATGCTGTGTGCTTCACCTGTCTGAAGTCCTGATGCATTATTACCCCGGCCCCCTTCTCTCCCCCTCTCCCAGTCACAGTCTCCGCACCTATCCCCGTCCCTGTCCCTGCACCTGCTGCTCCATTGTGCCGCTTCTTCAAGCTCCCCGACCTCCTGCTTCCAACCCTGAAATTTATGTTCTTGGGCAGTGAAATCGCTTAACACGGGCTGGCGCTTGCCCCTTGCGCTAATCTGCACGTCACCCGCTTCCCCCCCTTCCCTCCGGGATTCTTCCGCTTTCCGCGCCTCCCCAGCTTCCCTCTCCCGCGCGGCCCGTACCGCTTGCTCCAACGCGCGCAGAGACTCTTCCGCCGTTCTTGCGCGGGTCTGAGCCAGCTGCAGCGCGCGCATGAGCTCCGACGTGGTAAGCGCGGACGGCGGAAGCGGAGTTCTGGTGCCAGGGCTAATGGCATCAGTGCTGGTTGTAGAAATTGATCCAATGAATTCGCCCGAAATGTCAATAACGACTTCCTCGCTAGGCGGACACACAACGCCGTCAACGCCGTTGACTCCGTCGACGCCGTCAGCGCCGTGAACTTCGGGTGATGGTGACAACAGGTCAGCCGAGGTCCGCGTTGATCGCGGCGGTGATGGCGGCGATGATAGCGGCGCGGCTGGCGGCGGGGATTCTTTCGACTCCAAATCGGCGGACTGCTTCGCCAGGCTAAGATCGACACAGTGTCGAGGGAATGCGATGAAATCCGGCAAAAAGGTGGTAACCGCGGACGGCTGATCAAAGTGAGAAGGTGACCTGATCAGCAGGTATCCTCCCTCTATCTCTGCTGCTTCGGTCCCTTCTACCTCCGACTCTTCTGCCTCAGCCTCCTCTTCCTTCCCTGTCGCTTCCATTCGTTCAATCCCTTCCTGCCCTTAGTTCGCTTCCTTCACTTCCCTCTCTTCTATCCCCTTCTATCCCTTCTTCTATCCCCTCTGTCTCTTGAATCCAGTCTCGCTGCACACAGTCAGGTTCCTTCAAATCTGTCTCGATTCAGTGCACCCTAAAAATCTAAATGCAGGAGTAGGTGGCACACGCGAAACACCTCCTCAATTGTCAGCATAGGCCAGCTCATTAGAGAAGGCACGCGCACGCGAAAAAGGAAAGCTCTCGCTGTTGCGGGAGTGGCTCGATCACGCAACATGTACAAACAGGCAAATCGTTGTTCGAGCAGCCAGAGCAAGCAGCAACAGCAGCAGCGCCTGCTTCCCTAATGAGTTGGCCTGTGCTGATCGCGGCGCTCTCCCTACTCTACTCACTCTCCTCTTCCTGCTGTGGCTCAGCTATCGCCTCCACTCACACTCTCACCCTAGTAGACTTGCTGATGCTTCTGGTGCTTCGGCAGCTGCGGCTGCCGCTCTGTGCTCTGCTCTCCAGCGGGAATGTGAGGCTGCCTGCTGTTCCACGGGAAAACCGACCTGGATTTGCGGATTTGCTGACGAGATTATCCAATAGCGAGGATGCGTTGTTCGATTTCCAAGAGGCAGTGGTGAGCTGCCGCTGACAGAGACGAGTGGTTGGATGATCTGGTGGTGATGCCGGGCGTTGCGGACGTGGAGTAAACGGATTGGGGGAGGCTCTCAGAATGAGCACTTGTGGTGCTTTGCCATGTGGAGATGAGATCCAATGGGACCACATGACGCTCTCCAGCCTCAGCACACGCAAGCTGCCTTGTCAAAGCCCCGCCAAGGACTCGTTATGAGATAAGAACGCCGCCAATCAAAATACAGTGCAGGATGTCTGCACTACTCTTTGCAACTAGACGAATAAATACTACAAACTCGTAGGCAAACATTAAGTTTTGTGACAGCTGTGACAGAAGCACGCTCGTTATACGTTCAGCTCATTCTAGTTTTGTGGTCCCAGAACTGAAGTTTTCCAGCTCTTTTGGACGACGTGGCTTCCCTCCACGTCATGCCTGAATCTGTGTACCCAGCCCAGTCTGACGTCTGGCCGGCTTGTTATGCCGTCAGCAATCGGCCCACAGTTTCCACCCCTATCCCTGCATCACTGCCAGCGCATGTTTTTCGAACTCCCATTTCAATGCAGGTTGGTTGGAGGAGTCGAGTGAAGAGGTGGTTTGACCTGAAACGGAACCACAACGCACTCACACCAACGCTCTCACCCACGCACTCACTACTTAGGCAAGTTTCTGACTTATGTAAACTCTTACTTAAGATAAACTTGTTTCTGCCTTTGTTGACAAAAACCAATAAGCTCTACTAAGCACCAACGCTTATGACCAACTTCCGGATCCAGACCAACTTCTCCTCCCAGCTACCGCTTTCCTCGTGCATTCATCTATCAAGGCTGGATGAAAAAAGGATGAAAGTGAATTCCTTGTCAAACCCTTGCTTCAGGAATCAGCGCACCATCAATGCGTGGCTCCTTCTGTGCCGCATTCAAGCACCTGCGTTCGTTGATTTCTTGCTCGAACTCGTGTTGTTTGTCATCCGTTATCTCAAAGCACGCTGATCCATTTGGAGAGGACGTCGTCTAACAGGCTTTCGTGCGCGTTGCCGACAGTCTCCACAAATTACCTTCGAATGTTCTGACTCTCTGCGACAGCAGGCAGTGATCTATCCGCTGTTCGTCGCGCTTTTAACGTTGTTTCCAAGATCTCCCGGCATTTCTACACTGCCAGCCCTTCATTGGAAACCCTAACGACCACGCCAGCCCGCTTGGATAACAATACCTCCAGCCCTTTCCGCGGACATGTCGGGGACCCGTGCGATCTATTATCGCCGGGTCGCCGTTCTGTTGGGAGCAGCCACCGCAGCAGGCGGCGGGATTTACATAGCTTACCGACTTTCCAACTCCGAGTATTACCGCCGCCAGCGGCAACGTGTGCGAGACGCATGGGTCCTCTTCTCGCGGTTATACAACGCAGTCTTTGCCGCTTCTGAGCTGTCTACTACTGTACTGACGGACGTTCGAGCGTTTATCGAGTCAGATTCAGACGAGGTTCCGCGAAGCGTACGGCAGATCCTGAAGCTGTCCAGCTCCGAGGAGTTTCAACGAGCCGTCGTACGTACGACGTACTCTGTAACAGAAGGTGTTCTCCACGGCGTGTGTCTGTCGTCAGCCTGGAACGGTCCAGACGAAACGGCAAGCGCATACCCAGCTCAAGGCACCAATGGCGTCGCAGCATCTTCCGGAATCAGCGGGATGCCGGTCAGGCGAATGGGTTTGGTGGAGTCTGTTTTGGATAAGCTGTTCACAGACGAGGGTCGAACCTTCGCATCTGCGGTGGTAGGAAAGGCGATGCGGAGTCTAGTAGTTTCGCTAGTAGACAAGCTAAGTAGCCCACCGGGATCTGGCAGCGCATCTGGCGCATCTTCCGCGGCTGGGTCCAGACAGGCGCTGACAGGATGGGAGTTGATACTGGTTGAGCTGGCTACCAACGAGAAGGGGAAGGCTCTGCTGACGGATATCGTCGCGACATTCGCCGTGAACGCTGTCGGGACGTTTATTGAGAAGACGAGAAACGTCAACGTCTACCATGATATTCTCGCAGCCGTGAGTAGGCATCAAGAGCTTGTGAAGGATGTCGGAGCACACATTCTAACGAGGACAGCAGAGACGACTGTTGCTACCGCAATGGCTCCCATTCCGCCTGAACGAGCGGCAAGGCAGGGGGGTTCGGCAAGCGGGGGGATGGGGGCAGGGTTTGAAGAGGTGATACAAACGGAGGCTGTTTCCGTCGCTCTATCGACATCGTCTGACGGCACTTCGTCAGAAGCTCCGTCTCCGTCAGAATCGCTGTCTCCACGTAGCAGGAGCTCGCTTGACGGCCAATTACAAGACCCCATGTGGCAGGGGGTTCCAGATGCAACAGTTTCCGTGCCACAGACAGCAGCAGCTGCAGCAGCCACAGCATCTTCCGCATCTCTTCGTGGCAAGTTAACAACCTTCTTCCGTCGCCTGCCTCCCCCACCTCCTCCCGCGCTTCAAACGGCGTCCACGTCAGCAGCCTCTTCATTCCCAGGGAGCCAAGCTCTGTCCACCACGTGGCAGCGTCAGCTTACCGGCTTCTTGGCAGAGAAAGAGGTTCGGGGACTGGTTGTGGAGGTAGCGGGTGCTGTGTCAGCGAGAGGCATGCGAGCCTTTCTCCTAGTCCTCTTCCATAATCTCCTCTCCAGTCAGCCCTCTAGAACAGCTAGAGGAAAAGGGGAAGCTGGGTCCTCCATGTTCCAGCACCAGGGGATTAGGAGCCGAATTCAGGTTGTTTCAGGAGGGGATGACGGGGAGCAGGGTGATTATGATGTTACTGCTGATGATGACCTGGCATTGGAGGCCTCTGAGCTGGAACGAGTGGCTGAGGTCTGTGGGCGTCAAGCTAGGGCCAGTGCGGCACGCGCACTGACAGTAGCATCTTGCTGCCTTGCCCTGGTGATGCATTGTATGATGGGCCTTTCAAGCATGTCTTCTTGAAGTAGGCTTTTTGCCCAAATGTTACCGTTCCTTTTCCCTGATTTATTAATGTAACTGAGCAGTGATGCATAAACTGGTTATGGTACGGTACATACAGAAATGATTTGGTGTTCCACAGTGTTGGTGTTTTTTCTTGGTTCTTGTCCACTCTACATATGCAAGCTGACGCTAGACCCGCTACGTGTATACGTGGATGGATACTAAATTCTCAGCAGTCTGAAAATGCAACCAAGCTACCCAACTGGCATACTTATAGTTCTTGGTAAAAATGGTTTTTTTTCCTAACTTATTTGATTCGTTTTCAAACATCTACGTATAACGAATTTGAGTCTGTGCAGGTCCACATTACGCGTAAGATGATGTCGTCTGTCCCGTTGTACTCAAAATCCTGGCCTTGGTTTCCGAGCCTACGTGTGCGCCTCTTACACGTGGCGGCTATACTATTTGAATGGCTTGTGAAGATAGCATTGCGTGTCGCACTTCGCTTATTGGTCTGGCTGACGGTAAGAATGACCAGGCCTATTGTCAGCAACACCATGACCCATATTTCAGACTTTTACAGCTGCTGCCCGAGTGTGCGTTTCACCTTGTTTACAGTTTTCACTTTACTATGATTGTCGGTTCGTCATATTGTTCGTCGAGAATTAGCTCGAAGCATCGAGTGTGGTGCCCGTAAGCTTCTCCGAAGCAAACGTCAGATGCCCAATGTTTTGGCGCGGATGACGACGACACGGATGCATCTGGCTTTGGTATGTACATCCCAAACCACATGCAAGGCTCGGTTTGCATTTTGCATGAGCTCCTGCAGAGCCGCCTGCCCATGCCTGAAGCATTCCCTGCGATGCCGCCAGCCAGCTGGTCCCCTGCGCCACCTGCGTCAGCTGCGCCAAATTTCACGTCAGTTTGGAGTATGAGTGGCGGGCTGAAGTGGGAGCATTTTGGTTTGCGCAACCCCGAAATGCAACATTGTTTTTCGTAGTCGTACGGCAGTACAGGGATGCTGAGTCGCGTGAATATGGCGGGTGTTTTTCTGGAATCGCTAAACAGGACGGTTTCAGTGTTGTGAGAGTGCCTGGTATAATTACCAAAACGGATTCTGGTGGCCTGGTGGAAAGGGTATCGCTTGAAAAATATAAGACTTTTAAGGCCCTCAAGCAGAAATGTTCAGCAGAAACCTTGGAAGCCGAGCCCCAAACACAAACGCGTCCGCCATACCTTCCGCATATTCCGCAAACCCCAAGGTCCAGCTGGCAGCCAGACACTTTCCCACAAGCCAGTTTCACCCCCCTGCCCAAGCGCCTGGCTCACACCCAGGCCTTGATTTCATCCCGCAAGCAGACCAGATACTTTGGGGGAGGGCAATACGCAAACTCCTCGCTTGGTTTGCACGCCTCGCCAGGGCTTGCGCTCATAGGGGGATGTAAACCACTGGCGCGCGGCGGGAGGAAGGGGAAATCTCTCCCCCCCCGGACCCCGTGTTTGCCCTCTAGCTGGCGCTTTCGGACGTCTGTCCCTGGCGTCTGTTTTTGGTCGGGCATTGGTTCGGGGGAAAACTCAGCTGAGTTGAGCTAGGCTTTGCTTAGCTGAGCTGGCGGAGGTGACGCGCAGTAGTGGATGGATGGGTTTGGTGTTGCCTTACCCCTGCAGCTGCTCCTTCTTACTCTTCAGTCTATGAATACTAATTAGTTCGGAATGTGATAGTCACCTGTCTTCTGTCCAAGCAAGCGTCCTAGAGCGCCAGATTTCCTTTGTTCTTACAAAATAGCTCACCGAGAAGTTCGTGCCTCTCAGCACGTGTCTCTATCCTTGTTTAGAAGTTGTGTTCAGGGATTTCTTTCCTGCAATGAATCCATGTTTGACGGTAAATTAGCTCCCGCGTACTATCGACAGGTTAGGGCTTTCACCGTACTGTTGTCACTTCTAGTCCACTTTCTAAGAGCCGAAATCTTCGTGGGATTTTTCGCCTTCCTCCGCCGCACAGAGCGGATGGCAGTTAACTCCTGGCAATGGGTTCTTGCGGCTTTTGAGATGTACGACAGCGTTGAGCTTGAAGATGAAGGTCTTTTTTCAAGCAGAGGCGAGAGCGCAGATTGGGGCTTGTCAACTTCTCCGAGCCGGTCGATTTCAAGAAACCGCAAGACTGTTTCCCCGTCGAAATCTATGGCGTCGTCGGAGGATTGCAAGACCCTGGAGGTTCTTTTTTCTTCAAGCGAATCTTGCAATGGCAAATGCGAGAAAAAAGATTCGCTGGCGGAGCTGACAGCTACGGAGGAGGTTATAATGAACTTTTTGGAAAGGTCAACACTCGCGCAAGAACCCAACCAGATTGACGACCCAGTCGCTGTGTTTCCACAATGCGTGTGGCCGCTGATTGCTTACCAACAAGCCATGGTTGCAGGCTTCTGGTTGCGAATCTTCAGATTTCTTATTCCTGCAAGAAAGAAGCTTTCGGAGGACCGGATTCGTCCTGCAGACGCGGAACAACCATCCTGCGACCAACAGGACTTCCCAATAATAAGCGCTTCGGATGCGACGTCAACTGACGTGAATGCGAACTGCATCGTCTGGAGCGCTCCACGTGGCGGCGAAACGCCGGTCTCAGCATCGGCAGAAGAAGATTCGGACGATGCGACGTCAGACCACCTTTTCACCGTTCCGCAGCTGGCGCCGCTGAGTCCCTCCGACGAGCCGTTTGATACCTCCAAGCTGCTTCCTCCGCTTCGCTCCGTCCACTTCAACCGCAAGACCCTCGTTCTGGACCTGGATGAAACCCTTATTCATTCCGTCTTCACGCCGATCATGAACGCGGATTTCGTCATAAGCCTGGACGTTGACGGCCGCCTGACTACTATTTACGTCCACAAGCGTCCCGGAGTGGAGGAGTTTCTCCGCGCCGTCGCGCAGGTCTACGAGGTGGTTGTTTTTACCGCGAGCATGGCGGGTTACGCGAACGCGCTCGTCGATCTCTTAGATCCGCATCGCTGCCTCGTTCACCACCGTCTTTTCCGGGATTCCTGCATCTGGTGGAGGAATAGCTACGTCAAGGATCTGACGATGCTCGGAAGGGACCTGACAAAGACCATGATAGTTGATAACAGCCCGCTCTCCTATGCGTTTCAGCCGGAGAACGGCATTGCGATTCCCTCGTACTACGACGAGCAGGGGGACCGTGAGCTCGCGAAGCTTGTCCCCGTTTTAATGAAGCTCGCTGCGGTCGAGGATGACGTTCGGCTCCATCTTGCGGGGCTCGGAAGCGTCCATGTGGGGTGATGATAAAATCAGCTGATGCTGATACTTGTATTGTGAAAGACACGCCATGGCATGGCACCGCAGCTTACAGCTGCCGTAACCAATAAGGAGCGCCAGCATGCGTGCTGCTATGCTCTTACTTCAGCGCTCTGCTTCCATGTTATACGCTAGTAACTTCTCCTTCTGTGCCTCCCTCTTCACCAGTTTAGCCCCCCGTTTTTCACGTTTACCATACTCAGCTGTAGCTCCACTGTGCGTGGATCTGGTGTTTGCTCCCATACATGACAAGGTATCCTTTCTTCGTTTCTTCCTATCTGTGCTAGTATCTGTGCTTGCTTCCTTGAATGTGGAAGCTTATTAGGCATTGCAGGCCGAGTGTAGCACAGACGTTTATGCTGTACTTTCTCTGTAATAATGAAACTTTCTCCTTGATGACTGTGTCCTAACGGGTGATTTTATGGCGAGTGTTTCCTAGGGAATTCCCGCCATGCCACGGGTTTGTGATTCGTGATGGTGTCAGCAAATTAACAACAGCTTCAAACATTGGCAGGTTCAGAATGTATTTGTTACGAGTGCAATTGAGTGAACGAACTAGAACTCCACTATCGAAGCAAGAGTACAATGAGCGAAGGCATGAGCGAAGAATATAAAGCGAAACTACAGTGGTAACGGTAATGGACTGTAATTGTCGCGCGACGGGCCTGGGACCAGGGGTTTTTTTTATCAGAGTAAATTACTCTGTTTCTCCGAAAATCAGAGTGGTTTTTATGAGGTCACTCTGACGTGTCTGTGTAATTTTTCTGGAAGATTAGTTTTCTCTGATTTATCAGGGTTCTGATTTTAGCTACTCTGAGACACCAGTGTATATTTGTGGCGAATGTATTCATCTCTGTACAGGGTATAGGCATTTCGACCGAGCCTCCCCCCCGAATTGGTGATGATTAGACCGAGTTGATAAACTTATTTTCTGCTAGATAATTGTAAGCGCGTAGCACAATGGTCTTTTTTGGTAGGAGTGCAGAAGGCCTGGGTGTTGAGAATGAATGAACTATGAATGAAGGGAGTACAAATAGGAAACCCTAACTGGGTTGTACCCCCTATGGGATACCACACTACAGCCTACACAATAGTATAAGCTATATATATGTTCTGACACACCCCCATAGGCAAAGTGGGGGAGAACAAGGGGTCACAAGACCAGTCAAACAAGACAAAGCAAAGCTCAGGGTGGATCACAAAGTCACCACACAGTCCGACCACAAGAGCAAGGCCAAAGGCTAGTTCACATGCAAGAGTACAGACATATATATAAAGCTAGACAAGCAAGAGCAGGTATATATATGTCACAGTACAAGTAAAGTCAAGAGGAGAGCAAGTGAGGCAAGACAGGCACAAGACCCAGCTGGGTGCAGAAGCGCTGATGGTCACAAGGCGCAAGGGCCTTGGTGAACACATCAGCAGTGTTGGCCTCAGAGGCCACGTACGCAAGCCGCAACTGTCCACGCTGCTGTAGCTCACGAGCAAGGAAGTAGCAAAGAGCAATGTGCTTCGTTCTGTGCTCCAGACGCTGCTCTCGACACAAGGCCAGCATGGCCTTGTTGTCTACGTACAGCACTGGAGGAGAACGAGGCGGCTCTCCAAGGTCAGTCAGCAGGTAGGTGAGTCAGCGAAGCTCCTGTGCAGCCATGGCCCCTGCGTAGATCTCAGCCTCACAACTGGAGCTGAGAACCGAAGACGAACCAGTAGCCCGCCACGAGACAGAGCCGGAACCAAGGCTGAAGGTGTAACCCTGTGACGACCGCTGCGTAGCTTGGTCGTCAGCCCAAGAAGCATTCGCGTGACCTGTAAGGACCACTGGACTCCGCCCTCCAAGCACTAGCCCCATGCCCGACGTACTGCACAGGTAGCGCAATACCCTCTTCGCTGCAGCCATGTGCTCTGGTCGGTGTCTCCCAGGAGCAACATAGCGTGCAAGAATGCTCAGAGGGTATGCAAGGTCAGGTCGTGTGCAGGTCATCAGGTACATGAGGCAGCCAACAAGCTCTGGGTACGGGCCACTCGACTCTACGGACTCATCCGAAGGCAGAGCTGAGAGCGAGTGGCGGGTAGACAGAGGAGTGGCCTGAGGCGAGGAGTACGTGAAGCCGAAGCGCTGAAGGACCTGCTGCACCATGTGTGACTGAGTCAAGGTAATGGTGCGGCGTGCTCTGTCCCGAGTGATCTGCAAGCCAAGGTAGCTGCGCAGTTCACCCAGGTCTGTGCACGTGTGTCTCTTCAGCAGCTCGGACTTCACGTAGGCGAGTCCAGCAGTGTCCGCTGTGGCAAAGACCAAGTCGTCGACGTACACGAGGATGTAGAACGGCGGCAGTGAAGTGTCGGTGCGCAGAAACAGCGACGGGTCAGCAGTAGAAGGAGCAAACCCAAGAGCCGCAAGCGTAGTCCTCAGTGTGTCGTGCCACTCACGTGGTGCCTGGCGGAGACCGTAGACTGGCCGTCGGAGGCTCCACTGGGTGCCAGGAGGGAAAGTCCCAGTGAAGCCAGGTGGACGGCGCAGCCAGATCTCCTCGTGCAGGCTACCCTGCAGGAACGCAGTGCTGAAGTCGAGAGAGTGAAGCTCGTAGTCGCGCTGAGCGGCTATGTGCAGCAGCACCCGAAGAGTGGTCATCTTCGGGGTGGGAGAGAAGGTCTGAAAGTAGTCAACTCCCTGCCGCTGACTGAAGCCACGAGCGACGTACCGCGCCTTGAAGACAGGTGGAGAGCCTGGCGGCCGCTTCACCCTGAAGATCCACATGCCACTGACGATGTTCGCCCCAGGAGGGGGAACCGCGTCAACGTAGGTGCCTGTCGACTTCCAGGAAGCCATCTCTGCATCCATAGCTGCCTGCCACTGAGAGGAGTAGGGACCCTCTACGGCCTCCGCGTAGGAGCGCGGAGTCGGGATGTCTAGTGCATCCGGGTCTCCCTCAGGAGCAAGCAGTACAGACGCGAGATGAGGTGAAGCAGCAGCCAGACACTGTAACTCCTCCTGCCTGTCCTCTAGGACGTCCGTGCCAAGAGCACACTCACCCCCGACGGACGGAGGACAGACAGACGCAGACTCAGCAACAAGACTAGCAGCATAGTCTAGACGACAGCGAGCAGCAAAGTCGACGAGCTCAGCGACAAGAGCAGACGGAGCAGTGGACTCAAAAGAGGGGTCAGTGACGACAGTAGCAAGGAGACGCGTGACAGTAGGACTGGCAGCACGAAGGGAGTCCGACTCAGGGTCGGCAAGCGCAGGAAGGGAGGACTCAGGAGGAGAAGGCAAAGGGGCACGCAGAGGAGCAGTGGACGGACGCAGAGACATCCGGTGCGTGCCAGGGACAGGAGGAGGACGCTGACGCGAACCGCGACCACTAGCGCGAGCAGCACGAACAGGCGACGCGGGACGAGACGCAGGCTCACGACGCTCAGCAAGACCTCCAGTAGGACCAGTGTAAGGAGAGGGAGCAGGCAGTGGGGAGGAAGGCTCCAACAGTGACTGCGACTGGACAGGCTGTGGACACTCTACCGGAGGAGAAAGACCAAGAACCTGCTGCAGGAGCGGAACGAAGTACGGCCGAGGCCGCGCGGCAGCTTCAGGCTCAGCAGGGACAGCACTAGCACCCTCAGCGGCAGGACCTCCAGCAGCACCAGCAGCAGAACCACCTCCAGGACAGACAGCTGGAGTCTCAGCACCAACACCTCCACCAGCTCCAGCTCCAGTAGGACCCGCAGGCCCAGCAGCTCCGGGACCGGCGGCACCAGCACCCTCGACGGTCGAAGAAGCTCCAGCTCCGGCAGTACGCCTCCAGCGGCGAGCAAACCACTCGCGCAGCTCCTGTGGAGAGAGGGGCTCCCGCCGAGACGCAGCACGAGGAGAAACCCCAGGCTCAGCAGCCCCATACGCAGCACCCCCAGGCTCAGCAGCTCCAGACGTAGCACCCCCAGGCTCAGCAGCTCCAGACCCAGCACCCCCAGGCTCAGCAGCTCCAGACTCAGCACCCCCAGACTCAGCACCCCCTAGCTCAGCAGCTCCAGGCACAGCACCCCCCGGCTCAGCACCCCCAGGCCCAGCACTCTCCGCAGTAGCACCCCCAGGCTCGGCACCCCCGCGCACAGCACCCCCAGAGTCAGCACCCCCAGGCTCAGCACCCGCAGCAGCACCAGAGTCACCAGTAACCTCGACCGGGTCAACTGCGTCTACCTGGGACACACCTGAGGGGGCAGGAACCTGAGGGGGGAGGGGGTCTACCGGGGGGGGGAACCGGCACAAGGAAGTCCGGTGGCGGGGGAAGGGAAGGAGTGCGGTAGGGGAAGAGGCGGTAGAAGGGGACTGACTCGTCGAACGTGACATCCTGGGAGGACAGAACACGACGAGAGGAGGGGTGGTAGAACTGCCACCCTGGAGCATCAGGGGGGAAGCCAAGAAAGACACAGGGAGCAGCACGAGGGGATAGCTTGTCCGCAGACAAGTCGCGGACAAACGCCCGAGATCCCCAGACACGGAACGCAGACGCATCGCCAACCTTCCCCGTCCACAGCAAGACTGGGGACAGACATCGCACACCGAGAGACCCTGGGGTGAAGGTTGAGCTGATGCGCCGCGTACCGAACCGCAAACGGCCACAGAAAATGGGGGGCAGCCGCATGCATCATGGACGTACGAGCGACATCCATGACCATGCCAATGCGGCGCTCAGCAATCCCATTTTGCTGTGGAGAGTCCGGAAGCGTGAAGGTCTGGCGGATCCCCCGTGCACGACAGTAGTCTCGCAGAAGGCGAGAGGAGAACTCCCCGCCTCTGTCCGAGTGCAGACGCAGAACAGGAAAGTCCGAGCCGAAGCTCCTCCTGAGCTGGAGACGAGCCTCGCGGATCCAGTCGATCAGCACCTCAGTGACAGCACCCTTGCTGCGCAAGGGGAGGACTGTGGTGTAACGCGAGTAGTCGTCAACCACCAACAGGAAGTAGCGCTCGTGGCCCTGCCCACGAACGGGGGCTG